CATCTAGAGCATGCAGAGGTTAAAACTTAGGGCACCCTGTGAGGTGACATCAGACCTGGCAGGGACCTTCTTGGGAGCTGTTTTCGTCCACAAGGTGCCAATGCTTGGGTGTGCTAACCAGGAGCTGAGTGATGATTTTGGCAGGCGCTGCCAGTTCCCTGCGCTGCTGAGACCTGGGACCTGCAGCAGCTGCTGCCCGAGTGAGCAGGATAGTGGGAAACAGGGGATCTTCTGCAGGACATGTCACAGCTAGGATTCATCTGAGCTGGTGGGGACAAGATCCCGTGAAAGTTAGCTTTTATAGGCAGTGGAGAGGGATAGGAGCCTTTCATCTTACCCCAAAATAAATGCCTAATATAGGCCAGATGCTCTGAGATGTTTATTTCTCTCCTGTAAAGGAGCTTAGGGAGATCTGCTGGGGTGCAGGCACCTAGGTGGTAGGTGTCCAGAGCTGGGTGAGCTGATTATCACATAACAGCTGTAGGTGAAGCAAAGGCAAAATTTTTCTGAAGCTGCATACTTCCTAGGGTCTACCATTTAAGTTGGTTGACATGGAGGAATTTTACAGCACTTGGGCAAGTTTTTTTCCTTATAGTTACTGCATCGTATACTGTTAAATGTTCTTGCCAAATACAATGGCTGCCTTGAAATGCTGCCTTTTGCTGATCATACAACAATTTGTGTACAGCAGAAGAGAGGCTCAGTGCCAGACATACCTGAAGATAGTCTAAGCTGAAATGTGTACACCATCTATTTTCTTCTGGAGATAGGAATGAGCTTTGAGAGATAAGTTTTGCTGACTAGGAATGTGCTTGCTTAGGTATACTTTTAGGCATATGATGACTAAACAGCTTGTGAAGCCATAAAAAACCCCACAAAAACTGAGAGAAGACTGCGTGTTTTCTGTCAGTATTTTTTTGACCATGTGGATGAGCTAACTCTTCTGTGTCAGTCTGTATGAAACACAGAATATAGTAGTAGGCTCCTTAGAGAGAGTAGTATTTGCAATATTAATACTGTCTCTTTTGAAACAGCAGAATAAAATTCTAGGTAAATATCTAGGCAACTAATGAACATTGTCAGCTCTTCATCAAACTTAATTTAGTTCTCAGAATTGCTGCTGCATGCAGAGCACACTCTTAGGTAACACCTCCCGTCAATATGGTGGGGCAACAGGCTGCTTTGAAAAGAAGAAAGTGATGCCATTCATACAGTTCAAAGTTATACAAAAGCTGTGAGAAGCAGACTTAGCAGTTTCGATCATTCTCGGTTAATATAAACAGAGAGGCCCAGCACAGCTAGCTGGCTGACATTTATCTTGGGAAACCACAGTGCAGCTTAGCTTGGAGCTCAGCACTTTTCTGAAAAGTGAGGGAGTTTTTTGCCACTGTAGGCACTTACCTTTAGTGTCCCACTCTTCTCTGGCTAGCTTTGGGACAAGTGGTGCAAGTTCCATGGGAAAGTTGCTTTTCCAGACCTCTGCTGAAGGTGCCTGTCTATTGGCATGATGATACTGCCGTCTGAAGGGAGCCCTGCCCAGCAGAAACCAACCCGCAGTGTTTCAGAGCACAAAATAAATGACAAACTCGGATACACTTCCCAGGCTGGTGCCAAAGGTTTGAGAAGGCACTGAGCTCTTGTGCTTCTGTGTTCACGGATCTCACACTGAGTGTCCCAGGCTCTGTAGCCATGAGCACATGCAAACAACGGTCACAGCTGCATGCCCTAAGGTGGGAGGCCTGTGGGAGTGGGTGGGATGGGGGAGGTCCTGTCACTTTATTTGTGTTCCAGGTTGGACTGACATCAACAACAAGAACAAAAGGAGAGAAACCAAGATCTCCAGTCTCATGCCATGCAGAGACAGGCAGAGCAACATATGTCAAGTCATTTCTTATCAGTGACTCATTTATGTGGTGTTATTGGTTTTTGGCTCCGGGTTTGTCCAGTACAGCAAGAACGATCTGTGGTTCCTTTGCTGCAGTGCAACAAATGAGCCAGATGGGCTTTATACTTCTCTGTGTTTGCTGCAGGATGCTGTGCGCAAATTCACCTGAGATTTGAAGAGCAAACACTGTCTAGTGACTAGTGACAACATGTACAGTGTTGGGGTACCCTGCAGGCCATTTATCTGGGAATAATTATCTGCAGAAGCTAAAGGTGCTCAGGTAGTAGGGCTGCTCATTCATAAATGATGGAACAGAAATCTCGGTTTGCTCTGGTACTTCACAAAGTTCTCTAAAAAATTCCCTCCTGTCAGAAGATAGTGTTGCTATTTCACATCCTTTCTTTTACTGTATCACCTGTGGAGCAGTGCTCAGGCCCGAGAGGGAGAGGACCTTGCTGTTAGTAAGACATAGCACTGCCTCTGCATGCAGCCGTCCAGCTGAGGATCAACACGTCTTGCAACAATAAGGGGAAGAAATACTGATGAGTGCTTGTCATAGTGAAGGGATGTGAATAATTGTGGGCAAAATAAGTGTATGCAGATTGCAAACATCTTTAAATCCAGATTGTCTGAATACAAAACCCATTTGTTAGGTTTCCCAGTCCCACGCCCCCACCTCTGTCAGCTTCCGCTGTGCCGCATAAGTTGCACAGTGTGGTGCACAAGTGATGACTGAAATGTTTACGTGCCTGTAACTTTTTGGTCCTACATGACTTTTTGGTAACCCCTGCACTGCAATTCTTCCCATGATGTTCAGTAATTGCTCCGAAGGGTCTGATGAAGGCCTGCTTTATCCAGTGTCTGTTTGAGCTGCTTGGCACCTAAGAGGGATGCGTTGCATAATGCAACAACTAATCCAGTTACCCCTGGTCAGAGCCCCACGAGGCTCCAGCCCCGAGCTCCAGGTGCTGCTAAAAATAAATACTGGTCTCATCTTTTAGCAATGAAAACGAATTTCTTCCCTCCGTATTTGTTCAGTGAAAGGGAAAGGTGTGGGGGTTTTTTTATAGTTAAGGTAGAGACTTCTTCAGGGCTTTTTTTTTAGTTTGTTCATTCTTCTTTCATCCTGGGGCTGCTGCTGGGAAGTGGTGGTGGTACTGCACCGTGGCCAGCACTGTTCGCAGCAGAACAAGGTCTCGATGCCTGAGCAGGGCTTGAGAGTGTTCAAGTTTTTTTCCCGCTTTTGTCTCGCTATGTCTCTCTCTTGCCCCTGACACTGTTTTGTGCACTGATAACTGGTGTTAGGAGTTTGGGTGCATCCCCTTGAGAGGATTTGCATTTACTGTAGAGTTGAATGGTAGCATCACTATAAACAAGAGGTGGTCCATAACCAAGCTTAGGGGCAATATGTGCAAGCCAGCTGGTCAACATCTTTGAACTGAAGTATTATATGGAAGTCATAGAGCAAAGACAGGTTTATTAAATGCACTAGACTTGCAGGGACAAAGCAATATCTTTGATTACATCTGCTGATTTTCACAGGGTAGATTACATCTGCTGATTTTCACAGGGTAAAGAAACACGTTTCCAGGCATGACATACCTTCTTTGGGTTTGGCACTGCTGCCTCAGCACCAGGGGAGTGATGCTGTGGGGGCTTCCAGCAAAGCTGCGTCCTGGTTATGAGAGGGTTTCCCCTGGGGATGGGGGCAGCTTCCCTTTTCTGTTTCCAAGCCAAACAACAAGCCTTCAGACTCCCAGAATAGGCGGGTTACCTCTACAAAAGTAGCAAGGAAAAATAAAAATTGCTGTTTCGATACATGCTGACCTTGCTGTGCAAAACCAAAAGTTATGTTACTGTTTCGGGTGTCCTGCTAGCTATTTATTTTCTTCCCGAGGAAAAGGCTTGTTTGCTGTGGAAGTACAACCCCCGCCCCCCTCTTTTTTTTTTTTTTTTTGCTGTTTGCCTGTTAAATATTTCTTTCTCCTACCCCCTACCACCATCCCCTTTTTTTCTCTGCCTAGCCCTGCTAGCCTCCTCTGTCACTCCTGTCGTTCCTGTGACAGCTCTGTGTCTCCTTTCCAGGCTCCTGCTCTCCTTGCTTCTGCAGTTGATAAGAGTTATTGATTTAGAGGTGGAATCCAGATATTTCAGCTAAATTTTTCTGCTCCTTTGGCCCATATCTAGCGTGCCCACTTGGCCACAGTGTTTTCCTACTGCTGTGTGCCTCATTTTGTGGGCAGGTGATAACCACCTGAAGGCCCTATAGAGTGTCTCATTGCTAAGCTCTTGGTCGTCTCCATCGTGGTGCAGCACTGTGCTGGAATCTGCCCCCACTGACACAGCCCAGCTCTGGCTCCTCTTGTCCCACAGCGCAGCCATCATGATTATCTCAGGGCTCGGAAGGAACTGTGATGAGCCACATAAACCTCACGACTCACCACCAGTGACTTTGCTCTCTTGGTGATGCTCTCTGTCTGTGCTTGGCAAGACAGGTATCTCTGTGTGCATATTTCTGATTCAAAACCTGTGGGGCACCTCGCTTGTATTGATCACTGTGTAAGCCTTGGAATGCAAGCCAAAGGTTTTTGTAACAGGACAGCAGGACAGATCCAGCTCTTGCCAACCCCCAAGGGGGGCTGATGCGGTGCCCCAGTAACAAGCTCAGCCCCAAGCAGAACGCTGCAGTGAGCCACCCAGCAGCACAGCTGTGTCCCGTGGGCCAAGCAGGGCTGCTGCAGTCCTGGCTGCTGCTCTGGGACATTCTACAAGCAGATTTTGTCTCTTATCCCTCAGAGTTCATTGCAGGATCACTTAGGAGCTGTCCCTAAGACTCTGTAGACTCAGATGTCAGAGGACAGCTGCTCTGTGCATGTCGCCAGATCCTTCGGAGGTTCACTGGGTGGGAATGGCCGTTCTGCTCTGCCTGAGAATTCATTTATTTCTTCAGGAGGTGGAGAACAGCTCTTCTCTTAAACTGATGTCATCACACGAGGACAACAAACAGCCTGGTAGAAGTGAAATCCAGCCTTTTTAGGCTAACCTGTTAGTTAATCCCTAATGATTTTGCTATACTTAATTCATCTGGCTAATTCTGATTCTAACTCCTTCAGTCTAATTTTCCCCCAGTCTTTTGTTTTGGACCTTACAGATCTCACATGGAATACCTATAGTTTTTAACCTGACATGGATCACCTGAAAACAAATGCGAACATGTTTATTCTTCAGGTTTTTAGCCGTGTGGCCTCCTAGGCTCTCCCTCACACTGCCCACAATGCCAGTCCCTGGCTCCTGACCCGAGACTTGAAAGTCTGTCTTGTAAGCCACCTCACTTGTACCTCCCTACATCCCAAAGGGTCCTCGAGCTCTCCCATGCGCCACGTGACCCTCCAGGAGTGCGTCTCTCTCCTCTTGACTAAAGAAGGGCATTTAATGTCTTAAATGTGGTGCTAATAGTCATTTAATGATGTATTTTGGGAGGACCCAGTAATGACTTGATGCATTGTCTTAAGAGTTGCTGTGAGCAGTTGACAGTGAATTGCTGCACAACTTCTGCTCTGTAGGAGTGGCACAGGGACTCTTGCTGTAGCTAAGAACAGCAATAATGTCCATCTGAACCCAAAATTCATCTTGAGGCTTCATTAAAGGCCTCTGTAAGTCTTTGACTCTTTTCCAAAAGAGAAACTCTTTTAAATTACTAAGTTGCAGAAGTTACAGTCACACCTATGATGGATGTTTGGCATCCACCGCTGCTACCTTTGGTACAGATGTTTCCCAAAATATTTAAGAATCAGTCAAAGGAATATCTTGCTCTCCCCAATCATGCTTTCTTTTCTTTATCTGAATCCAATTTTCTAGTTTGTTTGCTTGCCCCTTATTTTTGAACTCTTTGATTAGTATCTGCTTTAAAAAAATTGCTTAAAATTCAAAGTCACTTGTTAGCTGAGAGCTGTGAGGATTGAATGGTGCCTACTTATGGCCTCCTTGCCAGTTAGCACTCTGTTATTCACAGATGATGATACAGTAAATATGAGGGAAGGGAATCCTCCAGTGAAAGGATTTTTCTGTTCCGTTGCTGTCATTTATATGGCATAGGCTGGTGAGTTTGTGCCCATAAAGTTAATATTATTTTATTCAATTTACAGTCTCCACATGTGCCTGATTATGTATCTGGAGGATTTCAGTTGAGCAGACTTCATGTGTTCCACTACTGAATACACCTGGGTTTCTTTTGATCATTTTTTATGTTGTCGAGTTTCAACTTTTCTATAGCTGAGCTGCTCATAATCAGAGTCTTATTCTGCTCCTTACTACACAAATAAAGACACACATGTGGTGCCAGCCTTGGGGACTTGCAGGCTGGCAAGGTGCAGAAGAACCTCCACAAAGCAATTCTGGCGGAGAGACCCCCAAATGCAAATGCAGGTGCAATTAAATCAGTAAGCAGGTGTAGCCTTGCAGTCTGGCTCCACCAGCTCCTTAAGGATGGCTGAAACTCTGTAGATTTGCAGGCATCTCCATTAATTAACTTCTCAGTGAAGGAAAAAAGTTTCTTCTTGTTTCCCGTACAGGGAATGTTTTCTTAGTGCTGTTTTCTGACCAGGACAAAGCTGTTGGGGGAGAGACAGCAGAGTCATTGTGCATGTATCTGTTCCCATGTGCCACTGCATTACAAGAGCTTAAGGCCCAGGACACGGCTGGATGAGCCTGGATTGCCAGGATTTTAGGCTGTGAGGTTTGTTACTCTTGGAGCATCAGGTAGCATTGATGAAGCGACATGGGATGAGAGTGTTCAATACTAGTGAGGACCAATATGAGTCAAGAATATATATATTTTCCTAATTAGAGAAAGTTCTGTTTCCTTCCTTTGCACATAGTTTTCCAGCAGACCGCATGTCTCTGGCTGTAGATTGGAAAGCAGAAGTGAAGTGAAAATGTCACAAAACAGATTTAATGACTGTTAAACTGCAGGGAGAACAGAAAGCTGAGGAAAACCTGCTGTCAGATTTCCCAACCAACTTCCCAGACTTGGAAGCGGCAGATGAACATCTGATCTTTCAGACATGCGGCACAGCTGAATTTCCAAGCCTCTTGAGATGCTGTCTCCTTGCTATTGTCCTCCTTTCTCCATTTCCCTTTGGAAATGCATAAATCTGTGACTGTGTGTTAGATGCTCTTGGCAGAGGCATGGGGATTCAGATCTTCAGGGGAGGCTCCCCAGAGTGTCCCTGTAGGAGCATACTCCAGTCCAATGAGCAGCTGGCGTTTCCAGAAATCACAGCTTATTGCTGAAGTAGCCTCTGCTGGGAAGGGCAGAGTTGGGAGCCTCCAGCACGTTGGAGCTGAGCAGGAGTCCTCCTGGGGGTAGGTTTTGTGCAGACCCCTGCCTGCTGGTGCAGCTGGGCTAGCCTGGGCCACCAGTTGTTGTGCAGTGCTGAGCACAGGGAGTGGCTCTCCATCCAGACCACAGCCAGGGCTTCATCAGAAGCCTCCATGTAGCCCCATGAACATGTCAGGGCCCAAAGATAAAAGGGAAGCTTTAATTGCACTTCAAACTTGTTGCACAGTGTCTGATGCCATTTGAGGTAGATATGTATAACCTGATATTATGTTTTTGCTGGAGTGGTTTTTCAATCCACAGTGTGATATTTTATCTCTCATGGCTGTTTGCGATGATCATGACCCCTAGAAGACCTAAAGCAACAATGATTTTTTTGTATTTTTTTTTATCTGAATGAACTTGTTAGCCTGTAAACACTGCAAGGGGAAAGCCTTCGTGGCCTGCCATAAGTGTTGGTGATAGACAGGCAAATGAAAGTAGTGAATGAAACGGACCACTTAATCGTTTTCTAACACTGTTATGAATAAACCACCTTTATGGTTTCCATGGCAGATACTTTCCACTTACGAGGAATTGATGATGTCGAGTTGACTTATATTTTCTCCCTCTTCTGTTCCTTCTCTTTGCAGGCCAGATGATGTGATGCTGAAGCGCACCCATGATGAGACTGTCCTATTGCACTGCTTCCTCTGGCCTCTGGTTACATTTGTGGTCGGAGTCCTCATTGTGGTCCTGACCATCTGTGCCAAGAGCTTGGCTGTCAGGGCAGAGGCAATAAAAAAGAAGAAGCATTTGTAAATGGCAAGGCTTCTGATGGAAAAGAAAAATTTGCAAGAAGGTCTCGAGTGGGGCAACTTAACACACCTGCAGGTCTGTGGGGCACCCAGCTGCGCCTCCTTCCACTGTCTCATCTGACAGTGGAGTTGCTCTTGCCTCAGGATTATTCTTGGGAGACTGCCCCATGAAATGTCAGCTAATTGCTTCTTCTGCTATGACAATAAATAAGTATATCCTACCAAAAACCAAAAAAAATCTACACTGCACCAAATACGCTGTGCGCTGTTAGTCCCGAACAGCAGCTACCCAGGTCCTAGCAGTCTTGAGAGACAGTTTATAAAAACCCTGATGTGGCTCATTTCATCTCCACAAAGTGATCTTTACTATTGTTTAATATTAAATATTTAAAATATTTACTTTATGATAGACTGTATTTCCAAAATAATAAAGTTTGGTTGGTTCGGGTTTTTTAACCTTTGTTTTGTTTTGTTTTAAAAAAAAAAAAAAGCTTTATGATGAAAATTACACTGTGCTAATTTCAGGGTTTTTTGCTGTATAGAATTTAATTTTAAAATTCAAACTTTAACTTCTGTCTAGACTAAATGCTTCACGATCACCTGTTCATTGTGAAGAAATATAGAAATTCAGAAATACTTCTCCAAAAAATGAAACAATTATTGGAAAAGGTGATTAAATACTGGATGTAATTTCATTGCCTCGGTGGTATTCAGTCCCAACAGTTTTTCTTGCCCCTCTCATCTATCCCCTTCACCAAAATGCTCTCAGGCTGTAAGGAGCGGGATCTGGAGTGGTTTTACATTAATATCTTTTACTAGAGATTTCCCCAAATAACGAGGTGCCTTGAGCACTTGCTGAGGGGAACCTGTGAGCTGTGGTGTCACACACGTCACTGGGCTCCAAGGCTGGCCAGAGAAGGACATCAACTTTTTGTAGGGCTGTGGGTGTTTGCTGCTGAACTGCCCATCCCAGTCACACCAGCTCCATGCAGGGTGCCTCCAAACGGGTGCTCCAGAAAATACAAGGCAGGCGGGGCATGGCATCTTGCTGGTTGCCTTTCGCTGCTTATCCCAGCTCCTTACTGGGTATGATGGGAGAACCGGCCCATGCAGAGTTCTGTTTTTCTGGCAGTTTCCCTGAGCGCATCCATTGCATGCTGTAGTCAGGGCCTGAGACCAGGGCAGCTTCATGGCACCCATCCTCGCCCCCGCAGGGCTGTGCACCCCTGGGACCAGCTGTGTGGCTTTGCAAGGCCCAGCACAGGGCAGAGAAGAAAAGCCACGTGGCTCAGTCAGGAAAGTGAGTCTCTCAGCATGTGATTACTGGCAAAGCATTTTAATCTACATTAACAATCCTGCAATTCTAACCATACTGTTCATTGTACTAATCTCTGATATTCTTAGTATTATGTTTAAATACCTTGTGTTTCATTGTGCTTTTAACACATGGGAGATGTATTTCCCGAGGATGAGGAAAGTGCTAGATTTGAAAGCCTGAAAGCCTGAAAGCTTTGCTGGCACAAGGTGCAGTGACAAGCCTGCATGTAGTGCCCAGTCTCCATCTCAGATTAATCGTATTGTGCATTTAAGAATTAATTTCTGTACAGCTTCTTATTTTGTAAACTTGTACACGTGGGTGTCGTGGTGCCCAGTGATGAGGGCAGCAGGGCGGCTGGAGGTCATTCCCCACTCCCCTGCTTACTTGCTGTATAACTTTTGGAGGGTCCACTGGTCCCAGTGCACTCCAGGATAGCTGTTCCTTCAAAGGAAGTTGAGGAAATCTGTTTGTGGAAGTGGGAACTTGATGCTTCTTGACTAGTTACTCTGTATTAAAAATCTGATTAGTGTTTGTTGCACATGTTCAAGCGCTTCCAGTTCTGTGGATGGAAAGTGCTGCTTGCACGAAAATTTCCCAATTGTCCGTTTTAAACTTCACCACTTTGGAGGTGCTGGTTGTCAGGCTCACACAGGTACTCTCTGTCTCAGCCTGCCAAAAAGGATAGCACTGGATATACTGGATGAGGAGAGGCTGTAAGCGCTCAGCCTGTCGGATGAAACCCTGCCGACTTCTGGAAGCGCTGGTCTGCAAAGGACGCGACGTTTGCTTCCACGTGTGTCTCACTGCTGTGGCCTCGCTCGCATCTCTGCGATTCTCGCGCCTCGGCAACCTGTGGAAACACCGCAAACGTGTGTCTGATTTGGGGGAGCTGGTGACTATGTTTTTTTATGTATGACTTTTTCACACTCTGCAAATCATAGAAAGCTGCTGCAATGGGGTGGTTTGGTTATCTGGGTGATGTCCCGGTAAGTTCCCCTCTTCTATTTGCTCTTCATAACTTCTTAGGGGGAAGGGGAATAGCCCTGATTTGCTGCATATATACATCCTTAGTTTGCCCAAGGGAAAAGGAAATACACCGTGACACAGATTCACCATGGATTTTTAAGCCAGTAGCTCGGGGCTCACAAATCCAGATTAACAAAATCCTCTCTCGCTTTGCTCCAGAAGCTTTTGTGACTGAACTGTGCAGCTGATTCACTGAGCAAAGGCAAGAAGTGAAGAGTTGATGCAGCTTGCATGATTGGCAATCATATCCTTAAATCTCTTAGAAATGCTGTTTGTGAAGGCCTCTGGAACTAAGTAATAGCTACAAGGATGATATTAAATCATTTTGCAGAGAGATTAATGTCCCAAATTAAACATCTAAATTGGCGTGCAAAGACAGGCAGTAAGTATCTCCCTGGCTTGGCAGTATGTGATGCAGAGGGGAAAAAAAAAAATTTCCCAAAATTCACTTTTCTGTCCCAGCCTGCACCTCGTTGATTTAGAAATGTCTTTCTAATCCCCATACTTGATCGTGGAAGCTGGGGATTTCCTTCTAGCGGATTATTCACTGATTTCCCCCTTGGCTTTGTGGCTTTCCAGTTTTTGCGGCATATTCTCTGAAGCTTATTTACAGCCAGAGCGGCTGCTGTTTCCAGAGCCATCTGCAGAGTTGACTTTTGCATTTTATTTAATATTTATTTGCTATCGCTTTGAGGAATTTTGTTCCGTCATGCTGTCTGCTGCTCTGCTTCAGTGAGACCTGCCTTCTCTTTCATGCAGTGCAATTAAATCATTTTGTTTATATAGTATCTTTCTCTGCTAGCTGCTTACGCTCATTTTAAAAGTTGAAGTAATAGGAGTGGTGTTTGTTGCGCTTTTCCTGCTTTGTGTGCTTCTGTGTTGCCAGTAACAGACAAGACTTCCCAACGCATTAGAAAATTTAGCTTCTAAATTGAGAATTCAATTCAACGCCAGGAGCAGATGAGGAATGTCATGGGGGTATCCAGCAGCATTTTTAAAAGTCATTACCTGTTACTTCTGGTGTAAGCATAGCCCTTTGACAGGGGTCCAGCACAGTCTGCTGGACTTTCACAGATAAGTAACCTTGAGGAAGTGTCTAATGCAGTTTGTGAGGGGTTTAGGCCTTACTTGAAAAACTGAGACTATTGTAGACTGGGCAGTCAATGTCTGTGTGGGTCTGGTACGATGCTGGGACAGTGTGGATTGCCTTTTTACAGAAGGAACATGCTGTGCCAGCACCTTCGCTCAGCATTGCAAGTACGGGAGCTGCCTGCTGAATCTGTGTTTCTGCAAACTTTAGCCTAAATGACCAAAAGTCTTAAAGCCAGGAACAAATCTTAACACCAAGAATAAATCTTAATGCCAAGAATAAACACATGGAAGAAGAGACACCTAGAACAGTGTTTAATAAGAAAAGAAAAAAACTCAGGCCACAGCTTGCATTTAGGTAACCAGATGAAAGGAAGCACAGCAGAATTCCTAATTATGAAGCCTATTGTATCATGAGAATATTTTCTTACAGTCCCTGACAGAAATCCTATAGTTGGCATTATCAAAAAATCAGCTTATTTCTGTGTGTCATTTCTCTGAGAATCAAAAACTGCTTTTTTTTTTTTGTCTCAGCATGGAGCAGCTGCTATTCCTCCATTAACTTTCAATCAGAAACCAGCCCCTTCCCTTTCTGGCATCTTAAGAGGTTGCTACGCTGATCTGTCAAGCTAACAATCTTTGCTGCAGAAAGCATGAGCAGGAAAACCTCTGAGGGAATATGTGTGCAATTAATCATACAGCCTTGTCAGGTCACAGACCCACCAAAGGAATCAACCCCAAAGTTTGATATTTGAGAGCCTGTGCAATTTTCTTTCTGGTTTGATATACTAACACGAATGCCGTCATTACTTGCACTGTGTTTAATTCACAGCTCCTTGGTGATCTAGTGGTTTTAAGTCTTGTAAGCCAAGAAATCACTTTGCATGCATGGGATGTATGGTTGGAGACGCAATAAGAAGAAAAAGAATTAAATTATAGAGCTGTAATTTGGATATAAAATTTTGATATAAAATATGTTGGCATAGCTGTAAAATTACGTACAGACCTACAATACACAAACAATTTCCAAACAGCACGTACAGCAATCAACCTGAAAGAACTCTCTCAGAAATGCAGTAAAAGTTACCTAAATCACCTTTGATATTGCATTTAAAAACAAAAAAAAAAGCCTGCCAGTAATTTAATTCAATGAGCTAATGCAGTGTCAAACATTACCTTATGTAACATAACTTTTTTATAACTTTTCAGCTAATATAAGGTTTGTCTCTATATTTGCATGCCAATTGTCATTGACTAAAAGCAGTTGGAAAAAATCAGCTACTAAGCCTTTTCATATAATTGCTTGTTCAGCAACTGATAGCAACTGATGGTTTCTGGACAAAATACTTCAACTCTTTGGACCCCATACAGCAGGATCAATTCAAAAACAGACGCAAGCAGCTAATGTTTTGTTTCAAAAGCTCCAAAAAGCCAACTTTTAGGCCATTTCCATTCCCTCACTGTGGGATTATGATGAATCCAGACTTCAGATAAGGAGAAATTTCTGATCGTACCTATCGGAGCATGTGGCAATATTGAAGCCTGTGTCTTCAATATACGCGCATGGCTGC